TACACTGTGTTTGTTATAATTATGTGGGTTGGTGGAAATGATTAATCCACTTTACTCAACACTTACTAAACCACCTCTAGCATACTGTGTCCAGTTTTAACCCTCTCACGCATATAAGAAGGATGTCAATAAAGTTGAGTAAGTCTAGCGAAGAGCCACCAGGGTGGTGGTGGGGTTGGCACAGAGGACCTGTGAGGAGCGGCTGGGAGAACAAGGCTTGTTTAGCCTGGAAATAAGAAAGCTTAGGGTGAGCCTAGTGGCAGCCTTCTTGTACCTCTGAGGGGTTCCCAGGAAGATGAAGCCAGGCTCTTCAGTGAGTTGCACAGCAGCAGAGCAAGATAGTGGTCATAAATTGGAGATACTCAAAACCTGACTGCACAAACCTCTGAGCAACCTGGTCTGAATTTGGTGTTGAGATTGCTTGGTGGAGTGGGGGGGGTGCACTGAATACACTAAAGACCTCCCAAGGACCCTTCAAGCTCAGTCATTCCATGATTCTGTTATGAACGAAAGTGCTTTTTAGATGAATTGGGACTGTAGATATGACTTTTAAATTTAAGTCTGGTGACTTCTGTTTTCAGTTGGAGGGGGGAATGCAACTTCCCCTGGCTGTGTTAGTGTTAGAAGGAAGGGAGAGGATGGTTGCTGTTAATTCTATTAATCTTCTCCACACTGGAATCTAATCTTTGTCTTCATTTTATGAAGCTACTGGATTATAAAAATTGACTTAACATCTTACTTGACTTTCTTCTTTCTGGCAGATGAAGCCAAGAAACATTTCTTGGACTGTCAGTAATCCCTTTTGAATTCAAAACCGAGGTTTTCTTTCTCTGTGCTGTAGCATCCATCTTATAAGTTATCATGAGCTCTCTGAGAGACGTACTTCTTCACTATTCTGAATGGTTTGAGATTGCATATGCAGACAATATTGTCTGTCTTTTACCATGACCGTTTGGGTGGAGCAAAGCTCTGCTGGACTTCAGAAGAAATTAAACCCTTTAATAACATCCAGCTTTGTATTCTGCCTCAGCCTACTTGGTATACATGCTGTCTCTAATGGTCAACTTCAAAATCCACTGGGGAAAAACTTGAGCCAAAACAGAACCTAGGAATGATATAAACATTGCCTGCATTGGTATGGATCTGAATTATGCATTGCACTTTCTATCTTACCCATTTTGCTTTAGATTTTTGTTCTTCCCAATCAGAAAACAGTCACTTTTCAAGTATTAAGTAACAGACTGGGATGCATAACCAGGGCTTGTTTGTTTTGTTTGTTTTTTTTCCGGTAATTGATAGTAGGAAACACATTTCTAGGGCAAAATGCAAATGAGGCTGTTATGGGAAAAATGACCTTTTATGTAATTTAATTTGAAGTTGGTTATGTAAAGTAATTGCATGAACCTTTTTGACTCAGCTTGGGGGATACTGGGATAATATTGATTTAAGCAATCATAACATCAGGGAAATGAGAGAGAAATACTTTTTCCTTGTCTTCCTTCCGAACAGGGTTCTGTCATTTAGTACTAATAGATGCGTGCGGTCTAGTTTTAAATAGTATGAAGAACAGTGTTTCCACTCCTTTAGCTGTGACTTAATTTTATAGCCATTAATCCTGTTTTACGTTCACCTTATATAATTCAGCTCAGTGATGATAGTGATAATGGAGAAGTATATCCCAGGTTGAGCAGAGAGATTTGGGAGCTGATTTACATTTTATGGTGGAGATGAAATCTCTGTGTAGTGCAGGAGTCTGCAGTGATGACAGTAGGAAAGAGCAACGGCAGAACTTCCCACGTTGGAAGCTGGGGAACCTTTGCTCCTTTACACATTTCACTCCCTATGAAGGCAGCACTTGGAGAAATGCCCCAGAGGTAGCTTCGTTACTTTTCAGATCAATCTTCTGCGTGGTGAATGTGAAACGCTGCGTTGTTATATCTTTATTGATGGTGAATATTAACTTGTACCTCAAGACACCCAGTTGAAATCCTGAGGGGTGGCTTCTAAAGTAAAATAATACTTGAAGTGAAACAAAGGTATCACTATCAGGAACGTTTGTGTATTTCCAAATATAGTAATGTAATTGAAAGCTTAACTTCAAAACTGTTTAAAATTCTGCTGAGCGTAGCAGCAGAGCAAGAGCAGAAGGCAAGGGAAATGGGACTGGAGTTCAGAGAACTAAGGCAGGACTGACAGCAGTCAGTCTTGTGTAATAAAGGTAAATTGCCATCCTTAGGAAGCAGCCTTTAATCAAGCTTTCGAGGTATGCCTCCAAAGTTATGCTAAGGACATTCTGTGGTAGGATTGTATATTTACTGCCAAAGACCAAAACCTAATTTTGGTATGTTCTTGTTAACAGTTTATATTATCTCCCAGAAATCCCACATTGGATACTACAGTCATGATGGGTTTTCTGCTTGCCACATCTATGCCGCAACTAATGCTAATAGTGACAAATAGAGAAAGTGGATAAATATTTTTTTCGTGTTTGTGATAATAAGGTGGTGAATGTAACTCTTGATCAGTTGTTAACCTGTTTTAAATTATTGACCTTTGTTCACTGTTTGGAGTTTGATTTCTATTGAATATACAGGGAGAAAATAGTTTTAGCAGCACAGCAAGTGCAAGAGCAGTTATTGATTTTATCCAAGATGAAGGTCATGCAATAAAACCTTCAAACTGGGATCTTTCTAGTTTTACCTTGTTCCTTTATATGAGTTGATACCAGCAGTGTGTGTTGGAGCAGGTGGGAACATGCAGTTTTGGTCACTCGGACTTGTCATGGGTGTTAGGCAGGGTGACTGAAAAGCAAAGGTTTTAGCATAGATTCCTGATGTATCTTTAGCTGAGACACGTAAACAAATAATCAATTTTAGATACAGCATTTTGGAAAAATGATCGCAGAGCTTCTTCACTGTGTGTAAACAATTGGAAAATCAGCACATTTCAGAGCCAGATAGTTGATGTCATTGCATTGTATAATTATTTAAGGCTTATATATACACGTGTGTGTGTGTATATACACAAATAGTACAGAAGTTCAGCATTTTTTGACTTTCGCTTTGCAATCAGTTTTTCTAGTAACTGGCAAAGGAAGGATCAAGTTTGTTTCTCAAGCCAGTTCCTCAACCTTTCAGCATTTGTATTTCTGCATGCATTTGTTAAAGTGAAGAGTTTCCATTTCAAGGCAGATAAAAAATAATAAATACTGAGCAAAGGAAGCTGCAGTAATCTTTAGCCAGAATGTGTTAACGTGGACTAAATTAAAAATAGACTGATGCAGAATTGCTGGCTTTTGTTATTTTTAAATTTTTTGGCCTGTGACAGCTCCTTTTTTACTATTGGCTGGAACTGTAATGAGTGTGTTTCCATCACCATGGCATGTGATTGCATTGCTGAGGTAGACTCCAAGCAGCCTCTTTACCTATTCATATTTAATAAGCCCAGTGGAGTGATGGGTCCTGTGCAGAAGACGTCCTGTTTTGAAATCATGCACTTGTTACTGTGAAGTCTGCTCCAGTCCTCTTCAGAGGGCTCCATTCTGGGTTTTCTAGAGGATTGTATTAGTCTTGTTTTATGCTGCTGATAGAAATTGTCACTTGCTGGTGACCGGTACTGGGGCACGTGAATTAACATTACATACAGTAGCACTGAGGTGATGGGAGAGTGGAGATGTAGAACGGAGCTGTGTAACTGTTTCTCTGCTGCAGGACTGGAAGCGAACGTGCCCCCCTCCCCGCCCGGGTAGAGTTGCTCAGGGAAATACAGCCTTCTAAACCCCTTCCCCTCCCTCTTCCCCCATCCCTTCATGTGAAATCCATACTTGCCATGGATGATGGCATTGGTTGTGATACATACATGTAAAGCACTTTTTGAGAGCTGTGTTGTACCTGAGTTCAGCTGAGTCTTTCAGTCTCAACCTTTATCTTTTTTTTAACTTTATTTATTGTGTTATCCTCCCCCATGGCTTTTTGAAACACGCTTGCTTTCATCTGTGCAAAAATCTCCCTCCTGAGGATAGTTTGCCTCTTTTTCTCCATGACAATTCAGCTTTGCACTTCTTGTCCTCTTCTACATCATCTTTAACTTCCTGCTACTGCCTTATGGACTGGGTATTTTACTTGTCCTTTTGCTCCTTCTCACATCAGTTTTGACTGTTTTACTTCTCTGGTGACACCAGTCTTGGCCACCTATTTGCCAGCTTTTCATACCAAATCTGTGTTGTGTGGTTTCTAACCTAAAGATGGGAAGGGCAAAGTTCTGTCACTGTGCTCTGTCTTTTAGCCTGCTGAATGGACAATTGAATTTCTAATTAACCTTCACTTTCTGCAACAAGACCAGGTTGGGAGAAAACCTGCTTCCAATCACCCTGCTTTGCACCTTTTTGTCCAAATCTTTATTAGCTTGCCTGCCTTCAGATTGTAGGCTACTTTGAGCCATTTTTCTGCTTACGAAGTGCCAAACATGACTTTGACTCTGTTAGTTGCAAACTGATGATTACACATAATGGCACTAAGTGACCCAGGGCTGACAAGTAGTTTTATCCCCATTTATTTCTGGGGTTTATACTGTTGCGTTATCCCTTTTGCTTGGAAGATCTGTAGCCTTTGCAAGGTAAAGTACTGAGAAAGAATGCTGTATATTTTGAGTAAGTTCTAATGTGCAGATGGATTCCTTACCAGCATGAGGCACAATATGTCAACCAGTGACATTTCAGTAACGAAAACAAGATGCTGCAGTATCGTTCGGTTTTTTTTCTTTCAGTTGTCAAATTGTTTTTAACAGAGATACCAGTGTTAGCAGTAGGGCTGGTCTGTATGAAAACATGCAATTTAAACTCTGAAATGCAGAGTGTCTGCTCTGCTAAGCCTCATCTTAATTCAGAGGGAAAAATGTAGGTTTCATGTATAAGGACTGAGCAGTGTCGTCACTGGTAGTTGTTACTTTCTGTGTCTGCAGTACCTAATTTTTTTTTTTTTTAACTGCTTTCTGAAAACTAGGACACAAGTTGACAGATCTTGAACGAAGAGAACTACTGGCAACAGCAGCGTCTTTGTACGTGGCTGAACAACTGAGATCACAGCGATTTCTAGGGACTCCAAGGTAAGTTTGTTTCTAGGAACTCAGATGTGCTGATGCGTTTTGTTAATGGCATCTTCTCATGCATGAGAGACACTGGTGAGAAACTGCATGGTTTCTTAATATAGTCTGTTTTTTCTAAATTCAAATGAGTTGTGGCTCACATTTCCCTACTCACACAAGTCATACGTGATTATTTTTATTCTACATATTAGCAAACTAATAGGCGCAAAAATGTGTTACAAGCCAGTACAGTAATTAATGCACATCAGGAGTTTCATTAATGCAAAATGTTGCTGCATTAGTAACTAACCACAAATTGAGCATCACAAATTTCCCATGTGCCCTTTTGAAGCGATCTAAGCACTCTGGGATAATATGAATATTCAGCTACAGAGCTTTAAAATATTGTGGATTCGTGAGTAATTTGCTACCTTGATGAAGAATCTTAATAGTTTAGGGTCCAACTCTAAAAACACTTCTGACTGGTAAACGCTGGAAGAGTCAGCACCTTGCTTTAAGTATGTTTTTTGGTGTTCTTGTTTCCCCACTCCCTCATTCTTTTGGATAGTAGCTGCTAGTAACCTAGGTAGTACTGTTAACTGGCCAGCCATTGCAGTAGCTTGTGTCAAAATACTAACTCACTTCTTCGGCTTTTTGGAAGAATATGCTGCTTTCCTCTAGCATGTTTTGAGCTTTTGTTGTCCTCTGGCCCATCATTGTCGATGCCTTGAGACCTTCTATTAGAACAATTGAATTTGTGAAACTTGCTTGGGTAGTTGGTGTTTGCAATGCTTGTTGCAACAGTGAATCCTACCTTCAGCATGACTCTTTCTTCTTGCCTCACGTTCTTTAATGTAGTTGCGTGTGTGTGTGTTTGTGTGAGAGGGAAGTCAGAATGCAGGATAGACATTATTCACATTCCATGCCAGTGGTTTGACAGTGTATTCTATTACTGATTTTACAGTGGTCAGGAATAAATCAAATGTGGTTTCAAGAAGTCTTTATTTTTATTTGTACCCACAAAGATAAATAGTACCATATGGTGTTAAAAAAAAAAAAAAGAAAAAAAGAAAAAAAAAAAGAGAGACTTAGGGCGAGCATAACGGCTTTGTAATATATAGCATATGTAGGCCTAGGTCATTGCTTGCCTTATGCACCTATAGGGGAAAATAAAGCACCTTTTTATTTCCTTCCAAGAGTTATATCTTCCATACCAAATGGCATAAGGAGAAGAACAGACACTCGAAGGCCACTGTTCCCTAAATAAAAGATGAATGAGGGAAAACGAGGAGGAGCTTTGATTGTAGTTTTTACTGGCAAGCGTAGGAAGTTCAGTAGTCTGGTACAGCTATAGAGAAGTAATGGATTACTTTGTACTTAGAGAAAGGATAGGAATTGTTGATTTGAGTTGTGATTCTCAAACTGCTATTGTATTCCCTGCTCTGATTGGAGATTTTTTCCCTCTGGCCTGTAAAATGTTCTTACTTGCTAAAAAAAAAAGGACAGGACTCCAATTTTTGAAGAATCTTTTATGTTTTCTTTCTATTGCAAGTATTTTCTTTCAGTACTAGGTGTTTCTGCATCTTAATAGAAAAGACATATACAACTATTTTAACTGAGATATCAGATATGCAAACGAAGTATTGCATTGAGCAATCAGGCATGGTCATTCATCTCTTTTTGTGCTGCATTAGGGGAAAAAATATAGACCCCTGCTTTGAAAAAAATTAGCTTATTTTTGGAGTCTCAACTCCCTAGCATATATTCCTCCTCCATGAGCAGAGAAGGCAGCAGAGTCTGACCACATGAAATTTCTAAGACTAGATAAAGGTCTGATTTTTCAGATTTTAAATGGTGAAGCTAACAAATCTTTTCAGTACAGGGAAGATCACTTTCTCTTGCCATGATGGGGTGTACTTACGTTCAGCTCAGCTGTCAAAGGATGGTCTTTGCTGAGGTATATGCAGATCTGGAATGAATGCTTCAGATGCTGAGCTTTAAAATTTTCTCCAAGTGGTGGCCAAGTGTAGTTCTTATTGAATAGGTCACAGTTTCAATCCACGTATATTGTTATATCTACTTGTTTTAATGATAGTAAAGCTGCCTGTTTGAGGCCAAGTAAGGACAAGATAATGCAAAAAAGGCTTACTGGTAAGTTACTTCTGAAGCAAACCAAACCTGATAATGATACCCTTTCCTCAAAATCATGCAGCTCCTTCAGAGGAACAGTCAAAGAAGCGAAGGCAGAATGAGGTCAAAGGATTGTGCAGTGTCCTGGACGGTGTTCTCCATTCCTTAGAGCAGCTAGTGGACTCCCTCTAGAGGGGACTGAGGACTGTGGAGCATACAAGTTACTGCAGTCCCATCAAGGATCCTTCATGGCATGTCCTCAACTTACCGAAACTGCATCTGACTTGTTTTTGAAGGTGTTCCATGTCGTGGGTACTTTTTAGGGAGCAGGATTGTGGCCACAGAAAGCACATCTCTATTGGTATGACTGCAATCTGTTTGAAAAATACTAGTAAACAAAAAGTGCAGAGTAGGAACCTGTGCTACTGGCAACAAACCAAAAAGGCCAGTTGTAATCTTGGATGCGGTTCACTGTGGCAGAATTGGGTGTTTGGAGTCTGTGTGAATTTTAAATCCATGTTGGAGCATGTAAGCAGATTAGACAGACTGCACGCTCCAAAGTTGATTCATAACATTGTCCTAATGGTTTGGAAAAGTACATTGACATGTTGATCATCATCTTAAAAATTTCAGCTCTCTGGCACTATTTATGTTGACAGCATTTTTTTTCTTTTGCATGCACTGAAAGCAATTGAGGAATTTTTGTGTAAGGAATTGCACTGAAAAGTAGTATTTTGAAATCATGCATTATTTCTTCTAAGCTTGTCACAGCTGTCAAATAGACAGTTTTCTGCTGAACTTGAGTTATATGCTTTTCTTTATTTTTTGTTTGTTTTCTTTTCCCTTTTGGGAGCCATATTTGTAATATGCATTCTTTTCAGAACTGTAGGGGTATTTTGGGTTCCCTTTTTTCCCCATGATTTATTCAGCCCAAGCTCAGGATTGTTATTCTAGTCATATAGACAGAAAGAACCATGCTCGAAGTCTTCACAGAAGCTCCACCTTTCACTGTCAGGGCTACTGAGACTGTAATCAGATGAAAGGCAGCTGAGCCAGATTAAGGAATTGTTGTCCCAGCCTGCTTCTCCCTTGGTCTCTGGCTTTCCTCCTCCTTCCCCAGGTACGCAGGTGTGATTGTGTGTGGAGTTGCTTTCTACTCTGGTTCTGCTAAAATGACCTGTATTAGTATAGAAACAGTTTTATAATACTTTAGATCATTCTTACAGAACTAGGTTAAGTACTCATGACAAGTGAAATTATTCTGGAAGAGCTACAAGAGTAGGAATGTGTAGCAAGGAGGAGGAGGTGAGCAGAGGATGGCTCATAAAAGGGGTGCAGAGGTGGGCCTTAGCTCTGTGCCACAGATCAGACTAGTAGCAGTCTCATGATGGGGGTTCTCCTCTACAGTTGATGATATTTGCGGGGATGTGACTGGAAAATACACGTTTTGCAGTGCCCTGGGTGACTGAATCATCAACTGTAAGGTTCTTGCTGGAACGTGCTCTGATGATCAGCGAGCTGTTGCCTCATTAAGGATCAAACACCCAACTTTCTTCAGCTAGCGTCAATTAGATGTGACCCCTGTAGTGGGATTCTTTGTTGCAGTAGTTTGTGTGTTGTGGAGGTTAATACAGGCCACAAGGTGAAGGCCAGTTTGCCTTTCCTGTGTTAGAATAAATTGTATTATGATTTGGGTGGAGCACTCACAGGTGAGTTTCCACTGTCTGCATTGGTATGTGCCCCTGGTCTCTCACCAACAGTCTCCTAGGAGTAATTCGCCAAACTTTAGCAAGAGCAGCTGCTGGAGACCTGTGCATGCTCAGTTACAGGAATACAGACATTTACTTTGTTATGCAACGAATATTTAGAGATTTTCTGTGTTTTTTTTTTTTTTAATTTAACTGGTTGTTATTCAGCCAGTTTTCTTGGGAAGAACGTTGTTGTGGGGTGTGTTGTTGTGTTTTGGTTTGGTTTTTTTTGTTTTGTTTTTTTTAAAGATGATTAGCTAATGAAAATCTTGGTATTTCGTGAGCCAGATACTAATGTGAATATTTCACTGTTACATCCAGATAATAGGGGCCCATGTTTCCTACAGGAAAGAGCCATGAATGATTGATGATTGTTTCATTGTTCAGCTTTCAGTTATTTTACCTAGGACTTTTCCTACTTACTCCATAGTCCAGTTTATTGTGAAACTGGTGCCACCCACAGCTGCTGAACAGATTTACAGCATCTAGTAAAATCCCAAGGTCTTCTAGACAGAACTCGATCTTGTTTCAAGTGGAAACATATTTTGGCTGAAGTGAATCCAGCTTATTTTATGTCTGTTTGATGTAGTTAGCCTTTGAGACCAAAAATGATGTTGTACAGTTGAATCTTCACATTTTGGCTTCAGGCTTGTTTTCATTAGTGGGTTGGGAGGGGAATAGGAGAGTGACTCTCCAGGTGTGGCTACATCATGCTATCTCATGGGTCTACTAATGTGATGTTTATACTTCTAAACCCAATTGCCTACAGCACTTCCTATGCGTTGCTTGTGTTGGCTGCTAAGTGTATTTTCCTAATTTTGCTATGGGTTTTACCCTTTCATCATTTATGACTTGGAAAAAAACAGTGAGGCTGCATGCCCATATTACCTGATACTACATGCAAAAAGATGGTAACACATTGGAAAATATTCTATATTGCTAGCAAAAAACCCTAAAGGTTTTTCTTGCTTGTGTGTTTAATATAGAAGACTGGGATTAGGGAGTCTTGAGTTAAACTTCTAACTGTTCTTGTGGGACCTTAGAGAAGTCAGTTGGGTTGGGCCTCGGTTTACAAAAAGGCAAAATGGCCTTAATACTTTACTGCATTATTGAGGTTTTGTAAATATTTATTTATCAACATGT